ACACCAGAATTCCGCCCTGAAAAGAAGTGCCTCTTGAAGGAGGTAACCCATAATGCCCTTAACGTAACTTAACTTAGTGCATGTAGCACTTACGGGTGACCTCCAACCGGGGTGGGTTGAACTACTCATACATTATAGAGGATCCAAGAGTGCCTTAATAGTCGCTGTAGAAAGCCGTTCATGAAATTGGCTAACTACCAGGACTGCATGCTTTTACCGTACTAGGAGAAAGATATATTTTTACTTTACATTAGAACCACCATCTTTTCTTTTTCTTCAATAGGTCTTGTTCGCTAGATCCAGTCTTCTAGGGTCTTCTTACAGATGCTATTTGCATCCTCTACGCTAAAGTACCATTTGTACCCACTAATCCAAGTAGAAGTTGTTGTGTTTATTAATTTATGTTAATTTAATAGGATTTACGTTATTAGTTATGTTAATGGTTATAAAGCTTAAATATATAAAAGGAGTTAACTTGTACTATCTAGGCAGTGGTAAAATACACCTAAATGAAATATCAAACACTACAGTTGGCGACAAAGATTCGATTCTGATGGACGAAGAAGCCCAAAGTACACAGACAAATGTTGGTTTTAATGTGCCCTTTATGGGACATATGGAAGAATATTCAACGAGTACAGATTGGAAGCAGTACGTTGAGCGGCTTGAAATATTCTTCGAAGTAAATAATGTACCAAGAGAAAAGCAAGCCTCGAGCATACTTACCTTGATGGGTAGTAAGATGTATGCGTTGTTAAGATCAATTACAGCACCAAGAAGACCAAAAGAACTTACATATAACCAAATTGTAGAAACTTTAACACAACATCTTGAGCCAAAACCAATAGTTATTGCTGAACGATATAAGTTCCACAAGGCTGAGCAAGGACAAGCGGAATCGATTAGGGAATATCTTGCCAAATTGCAGAGATTAGCAGAAACATGTGAATTTGGGAGTTATCGAGACGAAGCAATTCGAGATCGATTTGTTTGTGGATTGCGAGATCGATCGATTCAACGTAAGCTACTAGGCGAAGTTGATTTGACTTTAAAGTCTGCGGTAGAAAAAGCTTGTGCGGCTGAATTAACGGAGAGAGAAACATCAGCGTTACACGGAGAATTACTGAACCGAGTGCAAACAGCATCCCTCGAGTGTTTTCGCTGTGGTAAGAAAAATCATTCTCCCGATAAGTGTTATTTTCGGAAGTCCAAATGTCACGGTTGTCAAAATTACGGACATATATTAAAGAAGTGTCCCAGGAGAGATGGCAACAACATGAAGAATACAAAAAGTGAAAAGTCGAGAAGGGAAGATGCTAAGAAAAGAAAAAAAAAATCCAGGGAAATTCGCAACGTTAAAACACATAGCAACGTTGATAGTGACAGCGAAAGCCAAGAAGAAGATATAAAAACATGGCCGGTGTTCACATTAACTGATTCGAGAAAGAAATGTAAAAAGATGGAAGTATTAGTCCTAATGGATGGAAAGTCAGTAAAGATGGAAGTGGGCACGGGAGCTGCGGTATCAATTATGCCAGAAAATGTGTGGAGAAAGGTGTTGTCTGCAAAATGCATACGCAAGTCCAACGTTAGACTGCAAAGTTATTCTGGGCATGAAGTTCCAGTGAGGGGAGAAGTAGACGTTTGCGTTGAACATGGAAAACAAAAAGCTAAGTTACCAATTGTAATAACACAAAATAAAGGTCCTGTGTTGTTGGGATGAAATTGGCCCGCAGTTTTAAAGCTTAACTGGAGTCAAATAAAACAAGTAGTGGCAAAACCTGTCAAAAATGTGGAGCAATTAATAATTCAATATGCGTCCTTAGTTGACAATTCGTTGGGGACAGTAAAAGGAGTTAAGGCACATTTATACATGAAACCAAACTCAAATCCAAAGTTTTTTAAACCTAGATCAATCCCGTTTGCGCTGAAAGACAAGGTAAAGGAAGAAATCTACCGTTTAGAGAAACTTGGGGTCATGGAAAAGGTAGAGTTTTCATATTGGGCGACCCCCTAACGTGCCAGTGTTGAAACCTGATGGTAGTGTACGGATCTGTGGCGATTATAAAGTGAGCATTAACCAAAGTCTAGACGTTCAAGAATATCCAATGCCGACAGCTGAAGAACTATTTACAAAGCTACGAGGAGGCGAGAAATTTTCAAAGATAGATCTGTCGGCAGCATATCAGCAAGTTGTTTTGGACGAAGAATCACAACATTATGTTACAATAACACACATTTGGGTTTGTATAGGTATACAAGACTGCCATTTGGAGTTGCAGCTAGCCCAGCTATTTTTCAAAGAACGATGGATATGGTTTTGAATGGTTTACAGGGAGTAGGAGGTATACTTGATGATTTGATAATTACGGGTAAAAATGATGAAGAACATTTGCGGAATCTGGAGAGAGCACTGAAACGTCTTCAAAATATGGGAATCAAATTGAAGAAATCAAAGTGCATTTTTATGCAACCTTCAGTGGAATATTTCGCATTTGTCGTGGATCGACAAGGAATCCATCCATCGCCTCGTAAATTCAAGCTATAAGGGAGGTACCAACTCCGGAAAATCCAACAGAATTGAAGTCATTTCTGGGGCTAGTGAACTATTATCGTAAGTTTATTCCAAATATGGCAAAGTTGGTTAATCCTCTGAATTGTTTACTGTCACAAGAAGTTACTTGGAAATGGTCGGAAGAATGTCAGAAATCCTTTGAGACTTTAAAAGTCCTATTGGAAACGGCACCAGTATTAACACATTACGACCCCAAGAAACCCGTGAGATTAGCGACAGATGCCTCATCGTGTGGAATAGGTGCTGTTCTATCAAATGTATCGGACGAAGGAGAAGAACAACCAATAGCTTATGCCTCGAGAACACTTTCTTCTAGTGAGCAAAACTATTCTATGATCGAGAAAGAGGCCCTTGCAATTATTTTGGATTGAAGAAGTTTCATCAGTATGTGTATGGAAGACGTTTTTCTTTAATCACAGATCATAAACCGCTTACTATGATACTGGGACCTAAACGAGGTGTTCCTGTCTTGGCAGTCTCCCGCTTGCAGAGATGGGCGATTCAACTGGGTGCATATCAGTATGATATTGAATACCGAACTTCAAAGAACAATGCGAATGTTGATGCGTTGTCCCGGTTACCTAGGAAAAGTGTTGAAGAACCGGACGAATGGGAGGAAGAGGCAGCGGCAGTAAACAGCGTTCAACTGAAGCGGTCACCTGTTTCAGTAAGTATGATTAGAGAAGCTATGCAAAAAGATTCAGTATTGTCTCGTGTAGTATACTATCTGTTACATGGTTGGCCAGAAGGAAAGTTACCAGAAGAACTACAATATTTCTTTACAAAGCAAGACGAGTTTACTGTAGAAGAAGGATGCCTATTGAGAGGAACCCGAGTGGTAATTCAAACCAAATATCAAGGAGTGGTGTTGTCGGAGTTGCATATAAATTATCCAAGAATGGTGCGGATGAAATCTTTAGCACGTTTACATGTGTGGTGGTCAACATTAGACCAAGACATTGAACAGACTGTGAGAGATTGCACCAGTTGTCAATTTAATCGCTGTAAGTCTCCACTTAAAGTAAATAATCCATGGATTTGGCCTGTACGTCCATGGCAAAGAATTCATGTCGACTTTGCAGGTCCAGTCGAGGGTGGCATGTATTTAATAGTGGTAGATGCTAAGTCTAAATGGATGGAGGTTATATCTATGTCATCAACAATGGTCCACAATTTGTTGCGCAGAAAATGAAAGATTTTCTAAAGGCAATGGAATTCAAATGCACTTATCTTCACCGTACCACCCTACTTCAAATGGGGAAGCGGAAAGAGCAGTGAGAACATTTAAAGACTCCATGAAGATTCGTAAGAATGAAGAAGGATCTACTGGAGAGAAATTAGCAAGATTTTTGTTAGGATATCGTACCACACCACATACAGCAACTGGATGTACACCTGCAGAAATTCTTATGGGTCGACGACTTAGAACAAGATTAGATATATTGCATCCCAGTCTGGCAAATAAAATGGATAAGAAATCACATCAATTACCGAAATTGACAAAGCGTAAATTAGAAATTGGAGATCCAGTGATGGTAAAAGATTATAGAGCAAGAAGAGATCGTTGGATACAGGGAGTAATTCAAATGAAGTTAAGCCCAGTTACATATCGAGTGTTGGTGGACGATGTATTGTGGAAACGACATATTGATCAATTGCGAAGTCTGGCAGGATCAACAGTTCCAGATGGTAAAACAAAACAAGATGCTGAGAAATATCCCTCCAACTTGGAGACACAAAAAAGTCTGGTGCTCGATGAAAATACAGTGTCTAAACATATCAACCAAGAGATATTCAAAGAACCAACTGTAAGTACCACAACGACCTTGAAAACCACGCCTCTACCGCAGGTACAGACCTTACCTGACAAGATAACCAAAGAGCCCGGTAATTGTAATGACAGTGAACAGGTATCAAACAATCGCCGGTATCCTCTGCGTAATCGCACGAAACCAAAACGTTTAATTGATGAAATATAGTTTATTTTGATAGATTGTAATCAATCCCGAACTTTTAGGAAAATAACACTACAAGTTAGCTAAAGAACTATTAGAATTGTGCCGGAGGGAATGTTATGTTTATTAATTTATGTTAATTTAATAGGATTTACGTTATTAGTTATGTTAATTGTTATAAAGCTTAAATATATAAAAAGGAGTTAACTTGTACTATCTAGGCAGTGGTAAAATACACCTAAATGAAATATCAAACACGACAGAAGTTGCCATTCTTTGGCTAAGCTTCACTTGCATTTCCGATCTAAGCTACATAATCCTAAATATTCTTCTGCAAGGAAACGTCCGCGGCAAACATACGTAGCTACTTAATGCAGTATATTCAGAAAGAGGTTTCCGAAGATAAATCGAGTAAAACCGACACAAATGCATGTCAATAACAGGCTAATAACCGCTGATACAACTTCACGTTTACTAATTAAGACACAGATTTTAATAATGAGCTCCAGAACACAAATGATTTTTGGAGTTAAACTGAAAAAAACTTTTAAAACCTCGTCATGAAGACTATTTTTGAAATGATGGGAGAAAACTACTATTAAAATTTGTATTTAATTTTATACGCATCACTTTCCTTACAGTTATGCGAGTCCATCATCGTGGTGAATAAAAACCACAAACATCGATGTTTTTCAACCTTATTTGAATACGATTTTGTCTTTAACAGAGAAATATTCATGTCTAAAATCGAGAATGGAACGAAAATTAGTTTCTAAATCTAAGGAATCATACTTTGCATGAATAAAGATCACAGTGTCGTTTACATTTACCACTTCAATAGAAGAAAGATACTCTGTTAAAACCAACATTTATCACACACATTTACCTCAATGAAGGTGGTTTCAATAAACTCAAGGTGTATTTCACAGACAAAGCGTTTTGACTTTTTTTATCGTTTCTTTCTGCACGTACTGTTGTACAGAGTCATATGGCACGTTCTCAGGTTGAGTTAGTTTTAAAATATGTCACAAGTTGTTTAAACTAATATCTTCTGATTGGTCAGTTCCTAAGTATGTTGTCTTCTGATTGGTCAGTACCTAGGTATGTTGTCTTCTGATTGGGTAGTTTCTAGGTGTGTTGTTAATTGCATTTCGCAATTCTTATTGCACTTCTAGCAACGGTATACCGGGCTTATCAAAAAAGGGAACACCTTCATGACCACGATTCTAATCCTGCTGGTGCCTAAATTCTGTTCCTGGTCAAGAAGTTACATTCAATTTCAAGGACAGAAAAGCTTTCATGTTAATACCTGAGTTATGCAATATATGAACGTATAGCTTGCAATTCTTTATGAGCCCATGGGCTTAGCAATAGCATAATGAGAGCATTGAAATAATCACAATAGGTCAATTTATGAAGGTCTTACTTTTTCTACGTCCTGTAAAATTAGCTTTATAATTAGCATTCATTGGTACTTTTCATTGTCGTATATTTCATATAGGAGGAAAACTCATAGAGTTAGTATAATTAAACAATTGCTGGCAAGACTACAGTTTAACGGACACCCGAAGCGCTTGTATGGGGAGCGTGGGCTCGTTTTTGCTTAGGATTATGAGGGTAGGGTTTGGGTCAGCGTCCAAGGTGTCCGCTAAACTGCAGTAACCCCAATTGTTAAATAATTGTTTAATACGTTGTCTACAGGCTGTATCACAAAACTGCAATGTTATAATTTGTATAAAGGAAATTAAACAATAGAATTTAAATGGCTATGCCTTTAAGTCATACGCTAAGCGATTTGTAATTGAACAAATTATAATTCACTTTGTAAAGGTTAGAGAAGGATCACGTGTGTTCTATGGAATTAAGAGTCTCGAGCATTAGATAGAAATTCCCAAAAATTATATAGGAATTTTTATTTAATGCGAGGGTATCTCAATCCCATAGGACACAACTGATTATGCACTAAGCGTCTTAGAACATGGCCAAAGTCACGAAGGATTCTATTATAGTACTAAATTTGTCCCATGCATGTTTTCAAACAAGTGATTATTAGTTTGCAAAAATTGTTTTTTGGTGTAAAACCTTTTTTTACTAGCAAGATAAGCATAATTATAAGGACCATCAAAAACAAAAGAGAATACAAAAGAAGGCAATGAAGCAACTGACACATATGACACATGCATCAGCATAAGCACAGCAACTTGACGTAAGCATAAGTGAAAAAAACAAAGTGAAAAGAAAATCCTTTTTCTTTTATTTCCTTCAATCTCTAGAGAATATGCTTTGCTTTGTTTAATCGCTTGTGCTTATGTCGCTAGTGAAAACTAATTAAATGCAAAAATTAGGTAGCATTTAATGTCTTTAAGTAGTTCTAAGTTTTCTAAAATTGCTAAGATTTTTGTTTTCGTGCAATGAATGAGCATACAATTTACATTGTATGCTCATACACAGAGCTACAAAAGGCCAAGTTTTTTGATTATGTCAGTTTCAAAATCACTTTCTTCGGTTAATGTTTACATTAGAAAAATAAGAAGAAAGAAGCATGTGTTGGTACGGCGAATACACGACATACTTTAGAAGTTATTGAACACGTGGAAACACGTATGTTGTTTCAGTTTAAGCAATACACATGTGTTTTCTTTTAAATTTGTGAGCAATTATTTTCTAATTCGTTCGTAAGATTTATTTTAGCTTTAAAATTGTGCACAAGAATACATTTACATCATCGAAATGCATTTGAAGCGAGTTAAAATACATCTCATCGTTAATTGTTCTGGTATGTAATGTAGAGTTACGACAATCATTAATATTCTTTACACTCTTTAGTATTTGCTGTTTAGAGAATACAAGTTAGAAAATGAACAATAAAAAACAATATCTCGTTAGTATTCTCTACATAGAGAATACTTATGAGAAATGGAGAATACCAATGAAGTATTGTATTCCATTGTTTTTACTCCAACGCCAACATGTAAGCCATTGCAATTCTAATGTATGAACTTGTGCGTGTACAAACTATGGTTTTTGCCGTCTTTTAGAGGAATTTTATCTCATTTTCTTTTGTCTTTAATGCATTCGGCGCATATAAAGTTCAACGTTTGAAAATGGCAATGAAATAATCACTAATAAGTTGATTATGCCTTAACGTTCATTCTGTGAAAATAAGCATGACCGGAAAAACTTTTTTCCGTTTACAAAGACTAATTAATGATTGAAAATTAAATCTTTTTTTCTCTTTCTGCATATTTATTTGCTCAATTCACATGGTTTGTTCACTTCGGTGACTGTATTTTTTAATCTTTTGTCAACGCTTGGTTTTGTTTGACACCTGCTGAGCTGAGCATTTCCATTTAAACGAAAGCTGTTTTTGTAGGATTTCATGTTTCTCACGCATGAGTTTGGGGACCTAAGATTAAAGATGGGGTGGGTGCATGCACGTGGGGATAAAACATTCGTATTCGGCAAGATCGAATGCCTAAACTATGTTTATAATACTGCACTAAATTTTCACTTGTAACATAGCATAAATATATTGTCTAATTTATCATATAGCTAGTTCCTGTAATTAGTATAGTGTAGAACACAAGTTTTTAGCCTGTGTTTTTACGACTTTTAAGTTTTAGCCTGCTACAGCTACCACAACCTTTGAAAAATACTTTCCCATTTACAAACACCTACAAAATACTAACGGAAAATTCCAACACTCACTTTGTGTTTGACAATCTTAGATGATGAAAATACCTCTAGCTCAAGTTAGCTATCTACACAATAAACGCAAACACAACTAGACCTGAACAAGTTGTAAATAATTTACTCCTTTTACGGTTATAATGCATGTAGTGAGGTATAAAGATTATAACTGTAACCAATATGCAACAAAGGGTTACATTAAAGCAAATTTATGGGTACAACTATCATCATTTTATTATGATATATGCTAAAGACATGGGCTTAGAGAGATTGATAATCAAAAGGTGGGTATGATTTTCACATATTCATGTCATATAATTCGTTAAAAACAATGAATGTCAAAAGAATTCAAGACAACAAATTATGCATATATGAATATGAACCGCCCAATTTACATTTGACCTAACTGTTGCTATTCTGGAAAATATCCTTAACATATGATTTCTAAGAACAATCAAAAATTACAATTTCTAAGAATAATCAAAAATTAGAATTTCGAAGAACAATGAAAAATTACTATTTAATGATTACATTATGCACAAAAGCATACTGGTATAAGATAAATGTCCAAAGAAAACTATTTTCTTAAAAATCATTTTGTGAGAGCCATTGCTGTCTCCACCATTTGAATAATGATGATTTATACGTTGTATTTACAAGTACACTTAATCTCAGGTAGGGTCAATTATCATTTAGTTCAGCAATGACTTAATTGTTCTATGTTAACAGAACGTTTCCCAATCATTGCTTCCGCTGGCAATACCTGCAAAATTCAAACGTTAATGAGACTTGTTGAAGAATCAAGATGTAGTGTCGTTCAGTAGAGGACGGTTACAACAGTTACAGCAATTATATCTCCAGTTTAAAATACTTTGCAGCTAACCCTGTTTGAGCTATTTTGGTTCTTATTTTAAATTTTGTGTTATCTTTACGATTATCTAGGTGTAGGCACGTATCTTTTTCATTACGGCTTATGATTGATTCCAAGTACAATGGAGTACAATACGCAATAGAAATAATAAAGATCGAGTAGTTTGTTGTTATCGCCAGTACACAATCGGAGAATACACTCATATTATATTATATAGTTACCACATTATTTAGGGGCTGCAAGTACAATACTTCAAAACACAACAAATGTTATTTTCAGTGATATCTGCAGGGAATTTGTTAGCTGGAATTCAAATGATAAACGCCAATAGCACACATGTGTCAAGCTTACGTACGTTACGTATTGTAAATTATTAATCGATTATAGAATGTTCTTCACCTTTCTAAATTTCGCCCATTTCATTTGTTTCCTCGTGGTATTCATCAGTTACTCTCATAACTGCCTCCCACCAAAGATTACCATTAAGAGTAAATGTGCGACCAGTGGCTTTCTCGTATCGGAAGATATGAGGTGTATACGGTTTCGACCAGGTATTTGTAAAACGGTCGTACTTCATGACGTCGCCCCAAAATGGACGCATAACTTTAAATCTCACTTCGACATTTGTTGCGCTTGCAGAAATATTCACTCTCTCTCCATCACCACTTACTTCTTCTGTGACTTTTCTTTCGTTTAAATAATAGGTTACAATCATCTTTGAGATCCACGGACCTTTGGAGTAATATTGAATGGTTTTTCTGGTCAACTGCTCTTGGCTTATATCGTCGAGAATTGAGTGTTGTTGGGTCTTTGACGCAAAATTTTCATTATTTGAGCAGGTTGAATTTCTTTGAGGGCAATAAATTTCGTCAGTTGATAAAAAACCCATTTCTTTTGTTTCTCCATACTCATTACTGACTCCCATGACTGCCTCCCACCAAAGATTACCACTAAGAGTAAATGTGCGATTTTTGCTTTTGGTATCGGAAGATGTGAGGTGTATATGGTTTTAACCAGGTCTTGTTAAAACGGTCGTACGTCATGACATCACCCCAAAATGGACGCATAACTTTAAATCTCACTTCGACATTTGTTGCGCTTGCAGAAATATTCACTCTCTCTCCATTACCACTTACTTCTTCTGTGACTTTTCTTTCGTTTAAATAATAAGTTACGATCATCTTTGAGATCCATGATCCTTCGGAGTAATATTGAATAGATTTTTTGGTCAATTGTTCTTGGCTTGTTTTATCAGCAATTGAGCGTCGCTGTGTTTTTGACGCAAAACGTTCATTATTTGTGCAGGTTGAATTACTTTGATTGAAATCGATTTCTAATGTTGATGAAAAATTTCTCTCTGTTTGAGAGCTATGTGTCAGGGGGTTTGTAGATGCTCCATACTTCACGGGCAATTCGTTTCCTCGATTTATGTGACGACCAATTATTTTTCTGCCATTTTCGTATACAGTATTTCGTTGACAAGTTAAAGATTCATTTATAGTTATCCCTTCGATATCATTGCAATTCTCGGGTCCAAGAAGCTTTTCTTTATTTTTATTGTCTATATGCGCAAAAATTTCAAACTTGTATGATTCCTTATGACGATAGCAATGATTCTCTGTTGGTTGGAGTGTTTTTGAAGAAGTCGGTAACTTGCAAAAAGGAGACCAACTTTTGTAATAGTTTACAGTGATTTTAACATTGGAATGGTTTTCAACGACTAAGCATTTATATTGATCATCCGCCATTGAGTTTTGCTTTTTGAACTCTTGATTTATCCAATTTTCTTTATGAGACACTGTCGTCTTAATGTTCAAAGTTCTGCTTAATATGTCATCACATTAGTTCCTAAGAAAAAAAAATCATTGTAAACTGAAGTATTAACAATTTTTAATTGCAGACTTGGAGATTGCAGATTACGCATATAAATTAATGAAAAAGAATGGAAATCTGTATTGATAATGATAAACCATCAAAATCATCGAAATTTTCACACGGACATGGCTGCACCACACATGTCCGAGGAGGCTTTTAATGAATTAATGATAGCGGCTACTAAAGGAGTTAAATTTAGTTTTAGTGATATCATGTACAAACAAATTGATGGGGTGGCATTGGGTTCTCCTCTTGGACCAGTATTTGCTAATATTTTCGTAAGGTATTATGAATGTAAGATGTTTGCCTTATCTGTACCTCCAGATGTGCTGTGGTACAAACTTTACGTTGACGACACCTTTTCCCTTTTTCGTAACAACAAAAATCGCCAATTATTTTTACATAAACTCTGTTCTTTTCACCCTTCTTTAAATTAAACGTCTGAACATGAATCAAATTGTCGTTAGCGTTTATGGATGTTCTCGTGTATATACGCAACGGTCAATTCCTTACAAGCATTCATCGCAAGGCAACTTTTACGGGTTTGTACACACGCCTTAACTCTTTTTCTTCACATAGAGAAAAGATTTCTTTAGTAAAGTGTTTAATAAAGCGAAAGCTTAGACTGTCATCAAAGGAATTCATTTAGGGTGATCTCAACTCATTGAAAAAGATATTTCTCTCAAATGGATATCCGGAAAAAATGCTTGATAAACTTTTTTCATCAACAAAAAATGAGCAGAACAGGCCTTTTGGACTAGAGAAGTGCCCTGTGTTTATCAAACTTTTATGGATGTGATGATATTGAAAGAGAAAATAAGAATATTACGGAGAATTTATTTTTTGCGAGCCATGCTATCTTTCTATTTTCGAAAAGAACTATTCTACCACCTACCACAAAGAATCTCTACCGGCACCACTTTTAAGCAATGTAATTTACGAATATAAATATGAGTGTGATGCTCGCTATGTAGGTAGAACGTCTCTAAGGTTGGGTGATAGGATCGAACAGCATGTAACAACTTCAATCAGAAATGGAACGGTCCCCTCAAGACAACAACCAAAACGTGATTGTAAGAAAAGTAATTTAGTTTCATGTGACTCCGCGATAGGTAAACATCTCTTGAATAACTCCGATTTTGCTGATTCTTATTCAGACGACAATTTTAGAATCATTAAGAAATGCCGTTCATTCTTTCAGTTACGCGTCATGGAGGCTGTTTTAATTAAGTTAACCAATCCCGTCCTCTGCCGACAAAAGGTTTATGTCTTTAATTTATCCCTGTTTTGAGCATCATCTCCCCTTTTGGCAATGACGTACACCCTTTCTTGGCATTATAAATATCGGTAGATTGTAAATTTTCATTTAGCAGACGTTGACACCCGAGGAGTAGTCTGCCGAAATATATCGTGTCGTTTAATTTAGAACTATTGGGTAAGTGCTCTTCACTTAAAACAGTTCTTTTAAGAACTATCAACTTATTATATTACTTTTACCGTTCACTAAGGTGTTCTCTATCTTTGGAATTATTTTCAAATTTGTCCCACGACAAAGTCCCTATTTTATTATTTAAGAAAGCGCTATAATGGTCGTCAGGTTCGTGACCTGAATAAATTGGCAAGACTTAAAGGAAAGGTTCGCTCGGTGGTAGCAGCAATCCGGAATTTTACGATAACTGACCGAGCGCTCCTCACTCTTATGTCTAATTACGTCAGCAAAAGTGCTTTTTTATTTTATTTTGTTTTGTTTTTTTTGAAAAAGAAATCTTCAAATAATTTTTGGTTGTTATAGTTATCTGTAAATGTGATGATTCGCCAATGATTTTATTGATTTTTTCTGTATATACCTAAGTCAAAATAACTAATGGGAGAACTACATTTGAATTATGTCTACAAATCATAAATGCATGAAGCAAGTTTAAAATTGAGTTGTAATTTTAACATAATTTTCATTTTTCTTAGTCCCATATTCCCATGGTGTTCATTTTTTAGTAATATTTTAGTAACATCCTTCAAGATTATTTGAAATGTATAAAAACACAAGCTCTATAGTTACGTCATGCATTGTCAAAATTGTGAAACTCTGTGCAATATAAGTACTAACAGTCTCTTTGAAAGTTTCTAGCAACAATGAAAAAACACTCCAATACTTGGATGAAATGTTTATTTATAAAATAGAGATGCAGCTTACAGGGCCTTTTTAAGTTTTTTCGATCAAGACTATCATAATTAATTATCCTTATATGGTATTCCTAAAGCCCAATGAAATATGAACCAATCAAAAAATCCAGTTTATTAAAATTTCGTTTTAAAATGAGTAATGTAAGGTTAAATAGTTGGAACGCTACTGAATAACACAAACATAGCATAATGCTATTTTTTGTGTTTCTTAATAGCATTGCGACTATTTAACTTTATATTTATCGTCATATTGGCATGCGGAATGCATGTGACAATCTATGTTAACATCGGTATAAGATTCATTTTTTTCAGTATGAAGCGGGATGCTTTCACTGAAGGGCAATCATGTATTGCCTAACATTAACATCGGTATATGTTACTGTATATTTAATATTGAATTCGAAACAAAAATGAACAAGAATATTCAGTTGATTAATCTCTGATAAACCTTTCACCTTTACTTGTCACAAGCTCGGGACTTAAAGCGCAAGGCTCAGGGCGGATCTAGGGTATGTCAAATCAGTCACGCGACTGATGTTTATAGTTCCAATTTATTTATCAAATTTAATGATTACAATTTTTGTGATCATTAAATTTCCGTCATTCCCGGATTTCATCGTCAAAATTCTGTTTTATACATGAAAACTTATATAAATACGTTGGTACTTAGTAAATAGATCAGTGGATTTTAACATATATGGAATTATATTAACGGCTGACTGATAAGCGGGCTCGATGACTCGACTGTTTCGATGGATAACGGAGTTCAAGAACGCTTATTTAAGCCACTCTATTGGTCAATAGCCAGATCAGTGGACGATCTGGAATAATCTCGACCGATAAGCGGGGTGGCCGGACGGATAAGGGAATCCAATTGCTATCGTGTAATTGGTTAGTTTAAATTTTCGTCTTACTGTGATTGGTTTGACCGATTTCGACTGATAGCCAACTGAACTAACATAGTTAAGCTCACTGTCTGAATTGAATGTTTAATCGTTTCATAGTAATTTTCTAAAGCATGATTGAAACTACAATCAAATGGAATTTAGGAAATCTTTACAAATTCATATTTTGACATGAATGCTGCTGTCCACATTGTGAATTTTTTCAAGAGGTTGAAAAATTTATGGATGAATTGTAAATGCTTGGCAAAGACGATCTCGCGAGCGACATTTCAGTCATTGATGTTCAAAAGCAAGCCATCATTGTTTAGAGTTTTCGCAGCAGAAATTTACATCCAAAATCGTAAGTAAAGGACAACTGAAGTGTCTGCATGAATGTAAAATATCAAAGTCAATTTATGCGAGTATGTGATGCGATTTATGTCAATGTAGCGTATGGTAAGCAGATTGATGCTTCTAAAATTGTTATTGCCGAAGGACTTTTAGCTATGATTTCTTTAGTGCTTGGGGAATCGTGGCCGTTATATGGCAGCGAAATCCTACATTCCTGCAAGTATATTTTAATCGACAAAAAATCTGTAGCCATAAGGCGCCATACTATTAATAACTTTATAATAAACAAATGTTTGGGGCTTTTCAGTTTATGATCATTGATCATTCAATCATTGGACAGTTATACTGCACATTGTTTAAGATTTGAGAAAACTAACATTGATTACATGAGAAGCTGTTTACTATAACCAGTGATTATGAGTCTTTCTGATCCATGAAGCTTTTTATTTTGACAATTTGACTGGAATGGTATTAAACCTGAGTATTTCACATACATGAAATGTTGTCCCATGTCACATATTGTCCCCTTTTATAAATGAACACCTCATGTAGAGATGTCAAGGTGTGTTGATCTACGGCTCATACCAGATTGTTTGCCAGAAATTCCTAAGGGCTATTGATGTATGAAAAGCCATTTCTATAAAACAAAATTGTATTCCTAGGTATGCAGATAAACCTTGAAATTAGGCAAAACAGAAAAGTATTTTCATGATCACTAGGTAATTTTTCTAATGATCATTATAATTTCTAAACTAAATTATTTCAGATTTACATTTAAACTAGTTTTGATCATATGAAAAGATATTAATCACGACCAGTAAGCATGACAGGTGAACCAATTTTAACATTCATGTAATTATATGATTAAAGGCATGTTGGTTACATTCTGTTTGTATTGGCAAATACAATGCTACTGGTAATTGCTATATAGCACACCTTGCATATACTTACAGAAGATAATAGTCTAGTGAAAGGCCTAATAAACATTAATGGCATTAAGCTGTCCTTAATCGCAAATTTTTATTCGAATAATCTTTGTTTAATCTCTGGCAGAAAAAAATTTTAGGTTTTTTCTCAAAAGGTGAATTTGCTGGCACTGTATAAAGGTTTACAATAAACTTGCATGGTTTGAAGTCTGAGCTTTTCCACATCTTTGAACTGTCCCTTGTAGTACCTCATTTCCAACTCAACTCATTACATAGATTTGTGAATGGGGGTCTCTAGGGGGGTCTATGCCTGACAACTTGGTAGAATTTTTAAAGACTATCTCTTTTTTGGAATAGCATTATTGTAAAAAAAATTTTATGTTCCCAGGCATGCTAATGAGACTTATATTTGGCATGATAATGAGCCTAAATATTTGGCCAAACATTCAAGTATTTCAGGATTTTTTAAAAAAAACGTAAGGAATTGTGTTGTTTTTACGACAAAACGATGCCCACAAAAAACATTTTGTTTTTGCTCTAAAACGCTGAAAATGGCATTTCCAACGCTTTGAAACACAAAATTTTCCAGGAGAGAACGCCTCGGACCCCCCCCAGGTGCGGAACGCTTCCGACGTTCCATAACTGATGTTTGAAAAATCCTAGATCCGCCCCTGTCAAGGCTCTCTACATTTGAGTTGACTCGTCTCGTTCACAAGGAAAGGAGTAGAAGGCTGACATTCAAATGTTGTGAGATAAGATAGTTATTGTAAACTGAATAATTTTGTTGATCTAAAAATGAAACTGTCGAGAACTATAATAAAAATGAATGACAGTCTTCAAATACAAAGATAAACGAATATATTTTTGTCTTCGAAGTTAACATAGAACAAAGAAGTGAGCTCAAAATCCAAAAAAAATGTCTAATAAAACAGATGACAATTTAGCTAGTTTGGTCATAGACACGTTTTTATTCTCAAAAATGAATTCTCTTTTTAGGAATCAATGTAATATGTCTACAATCAACGAACACGTCATCCAAACTCACCGTTTTTTATTGAAGACGATTGTCAACGATAAATATTTCGTGTTTTTAGTCACGCTATGCTTCTTGAACACGAAAGATGCTCGTTGTTGTTGTTGACAGTTCTTAGACTTCAGACAAACATTCCACGAAGGTAAACTTCACAACCAACTATCACGTCTGTATGTGATAATTTGAACTGCGCAACAGCTTTATAATTAGATTGTTACAAAATAAAACAAATTCCGAAGAGGGACATCTCGTTTTCTTGATATTCAAGATATTACAAGAGTTTGAAACAAAAGATGGCGCATTAGATTGTTATGTACAGTGCTGCCACTCCAATATTTCAAATTTCACTACGTGATTGAATTTCACTACTCACTCAGTGATTTCACAAAACGCGACAGGATTACATTACAGGATTACTATTTTGATACAACTACACGCTAAGAATATCTTTTAGGAAGTAATAAAATGCTAGTAATTTTCAACCGCAAAGCAAAGTAATAATTCATTTACTTAGAGAGAATGACATAAATATATTAAATATAGAACGATAATATCCAAAATATGGTAAAAAACAAATTCCGAAGAAAGTGACGGCTGAACATTATTGTCGGCTGGAATTGGTTAAATTGTCGGCTGGACATGGTTTTTGATACTATCCAAGACCTGGTTGTCTGCGATTTGTATTGGATTAACTTTCTCTCAGGCTTCATGGTTTACATAATATGCTTTTTTTGCCATACTTTAAAATGTACAATCTACACTGAAATTTGTTACTTTTGAAGGTAGCACAAAATTTATATTATAATTTCCCATAACTTAACAATCTCAGTGAACAACATACAGTTTCAGCCTTTATTTCAAAATAAAACAAAGCTTTTCGTGTCGCAGGAAACTAGTTATTTTGCGCGAGAATGGTTTTTAGAAACTATAGTCAAGCTGTAGTAGAAAACTATAAGATTTAATAACAAACACACTCTGGCTTAGCTAATTCGCGTCTTTTCAGTTTAAATGTGAAAAGTAATTTTCCGTCATTTGTTTTCCGCTTTAATTTACCACTTCTACGGCGCGAGCACGTGTATCTATGACGTCATTAAAAATGTAAGCAAAGTCAAAGTTCGGACATTGAAAGCTTCGTTCATTATGATGTTGTAGCTCAGGAAAGGATTAGGTTATATTAAAAACGATTATTAGCATGTATGCCAAAATGTTAAGTAAAATACGCAAAACAACCCCATAAAATTATCGTAATGCTGGAGCCGCGCGTCGTGCTAAAAAATTAACTTAAAGGACATTGGCAACGAAAATTTTTATGGCATATTTTTGAACCTTTGTGATGTCTAACAACTAAAATAGAAAAATTTTTTCTCAAAAATATTTTGTTGCTGAGATATTTGCAGCAAAAGTTTTATAAACTGGGCCATCTTGGATAAAATTTTGATAAAATTATCTCGAGCGGTAGTGACGTCATTGGCTGGTGAGCAGTCAAAACAACAATACAATATACTTTGTGATTGACTGCGTTACAACACATTTAAAGCGTATTTTACGGGTTTTTTTTGCTGTAATGGATGACATACACGAAAATCAACCGGGTGAGGTTCTGCCCTATCAATATGAACCTGAAGTGAAGGCCGAAACTAGTGAAGAAAGCGGTTCCGAACAGGAGAGTGAGCAGAGCGACTTGTCCTCGTCGGAGGATGAAATACATGCTGAATTTGAGAAAGCAAATGCTTTGCGCCTTCAAACTCTTAGTTGGTGTAAGTGTGGACATTGTACTTTGTCAAAAAAGGCAATAGAGTGTTTTTGTTGCCACGAAAACGCGCTTGAATGCGATGAGTATGAGGCTTTGCTAGGCCAAATAGAAACTCAAGGAGTAAATTGCTTGACAACACACCAAGAATTTAGGAACAATATGCTGTCAGAAAGTGTGTTAAAGATAGACGTGTGTCGGCATCTTGAAGAAAACTGGCCCCTGTCTGATGAGGAGCTGGCGAAAATACACAAGCTGTATCGATTAGTTGCCTATCAAAGATGTTCTAGGTGGATTTTTCAAATTTTGGTGAAGAAACATCGAAGACCATTTCCTGCTTGTGTTTATGCTAGCATACGAAAACGCTTCGCGTCTCCAGACGGACTTTATACACATTTTAAATACGCATGTTATCACGAAAGACCCTAAATTTAGTCTTGGACAGACGCTCTTTGATGTTCTTTGTTATGGTCTGCAATTGCGAGCCATATCATTGTCAAAGGATTGTCACAAACTGCGCAAAAGCAAAATGCATGAGTGATCCACCCAAAACTTGTATTCATTCATAAGTTATAAAGTTAATCGAAAAGTGTACTTGTACATTGTGCACGCAAACACGCAGTAAAACATTACGGATAAACGAAACTCTACAGTCAAGAACAAAACATAGCGGCTTAGAGCTTATCACCTATATAAAACTACATAATCTTTCAAAGACTCTTATGTATACAAATAATAAATTACACGCATAACTCATTTGTTGGTCACAGGTTTGTAATATGGGAAAATGAAATATTTCTATTGCACGAAATGTGCAGTGTATAAAACGCGCTTGTTGTTGTCTGGGCTTACACTTGGTATGTCGGCAAAACCTAGTTGTAAGATCTGCTAAAATAAACGTTTCTACGTCTTATAACGACTAAATATTGGAAAAGTATATAAGCGTGATAAACTACACAACTTTTGTTAATCTTAACAACCGCCGACTGTTGTTTTTGTTTTAAAATTCCAGTGAACAAATGTGCTATATATTATTATAATACTATTATTTTATATTGTGTCATTCAGTGGACACCAGCCAATGACGTCAGTAATGTTCCGGCATAATTTAGCATAAAGCTTTTCTTCCAAAATGGCGGATAAGGATTCAACTTTATGTCAAATTTTCTCAACAGCAAAATTCAAAAGAGACACGAAAATACGAAATTAAGTATTCCATAGCTATCTATGATAAACGTATGAAAAAATTTCGTTGCCAATGTCCTTTAAGCTATAGAGATGTCCATTTACGGAAAATGTACTTAGGTTTGATGTTTACCTTTTCTTGCAACGCATTGACTTACTAAAGATTATCGAGACATGATGTACACCATTTCCTGTGTAGATCTTGTGCGTATACAAATTATGGTTTTGCAGTCTTTTAGAGTTTATCTCATTTTCTTTTGTCTTTAATGCATTCGGCGCATATAAAGTTCAACATTTGAAAATGGCAATGAAATAATCACTAATAAGTTGATTATGTATTAACGTTCCTTCTGTAAAATAAGCATGAACCAAAACTATTTCTCTTTCTGTATATTTATGTCTCATTTCACATGGTTCGTTCACTTTGGTGACTGTATTTTTATTCTTTTGTCAACGCTTGGTTTTATTTGACACCTGCTGAGCTGAGCGTTTCAATTTAAACTAAAGCTTTTTTTGTAGGATTTCATGTTTCTGACGCATGAGTTTGGGGACGTAAGATTAAAGAAAGGGGGGGCATGCAGGTGGGGATAAAACATTCGTATTCGGCAAGATCGAATGCCTAAAGTATGTTTATAATATTACAGTAAATTTTCACTTGTAACATAGCATAAATATATTGTCTAATTTATTATATAGCTAGTACCTGTAATTAGTAAAATTTAGAACACAAGTTTTTAGCCCGTGTTTTTACCATTTTTAGCCTGCTACAGCTACCACAACCCTCGAAAAATACTCTCCCATTTACAAACACCTACAAAATACTAACTTAAAATTCCAACACTCACTTTGTGTTTGACAATCTTAGACGATGCAAATACCCCTAGCTCAAGTTATCTATCTACCCAATACACGCAAACACAACTAGACCTGAACAAGTTGTAAATAATTTACTCCTTTTACGATTATAATGCATGCAGGGAGGTATAAAGGTTACAACTGTAACCAATATGAAACAAAAGGTTACATCAAAGCAAATTTATGGGCAAAACTTTCATCATTTTATTATGATACATGATAAAGACATGGGCTTTGAGAGATTGATAATCAGAAGGTGGGTAGGATTTTCACATATTCATGTCATATAATTCGTTAAAAACAATGAATTTCAAAAGAATTCAAGACAACAAATCATGCATATATGAATATGAACCGCCCAATTTACAATTGACCTAACTGTTGCTTTTCTGGAAAGTATCCTTAACATATGATTTCTAAGAACAATCAAAAATTACAATTTCTAAGAATAATAAAAAATCAGAATTTCGAAGAGCAATAAAAAATTACTATTTAATTATTACATTATACACAAAAGCATACTGGTATAAGATAATTGTCCAAAGAAAACTATTTTCTTAAAAATCATTATGTGAGAGTCATTGCTGTCTCCATCATTTGAGTAATGATGATTTATACGTTGTATTTACAGTTACACTTAATCTCAGGTAAGGTCAATTATCATTTAGTTCAGCGATGACCTATTTGTTCTATGTTAACAGAATGTTTACCAATCATTACTTCCGCTGGCGATATCTGAAAAACTCAAAAAACGTTAATGAGACTTATTGAAGAATCAAGGTCATTTCAACTATATAAATGTAGTTTCGTTCAGTAGAGGACGGTTACAATAGTTACAGCAGTCATATCTCCATTTTAAAATACTTTGCAGCTAACCCTATTTGAGCTATTTTGGTTCTTATTTTTTATTCTGTGTTATCTTTACGATTATCTAGGTGTAGGCACGTATCTTTTTCATTACCTTTTATAAATGATTCCAAGTACAATGGAGTACAGTACGCAATAGAAATGATAAAGATCGAGTAGTTTCTTGTTATCGACAGTACTCGACACAATCGGAGAATACACTCATATTACAATATATAGTTACTACATTATTTAGGTGGTGCAACTACTATACTTCAAAACACAACAAATGTTATTTTCAGTGATTAATTGATTATAGAAAGTTCTTCACCTTTCTAAACTTCACCCATTTCATTTGTTTCCTCATGGTATTCATCAGTTACTCTCATAACTGCCTCCCACCAAAGATTACCACTAAGAGTAAATGTGCGACCAGTGGCTTTCTCGTATCGGAAGATATGAGGTGTATACGGTTTCGACCAGGTATTTGTAAAACGGTCGTACTTCATGACGTCGCCCCATAATGGACGCATAACTTTAAATCTCACCTCGATATTTGTTGCACTTGAAGAAATATTCACTCTCTTCCCATCACCACTTACTTCTTCTGTGACTTTTCTTTCATTTAAATAATAGGTTACAATCATCTTTGAGAACCATGAACCTTTGGAGTAATATTTAATGGTTTTTCTGGTCAACTGCTCTTGGCTTATATCGTCGAGAATTGAGTGTTGTTGGGTCTTTGACGCAAAATTTTCATTATTTGAGCAGGTTGAATTTCTTTGAGGGCAATAAATTTCGTTAGTTGATAAAAAACCCATTTCTTTTGTTTCTCCATACTCATTACTGACTCCCATGACTGCCTCCCAACAAAGATTACCACTAAGAGTAAATGTGCGATTTTTTGCTTTTTGGTATCGGAAGATGTGAGGTGTATATGGTTTTAACCAGGTCTTGTTAAAACGGTCGTACGTCATGACATCACCCCAAAGTGGACGCATAATTTTAAATCTCACTTCGACATTTGTTGCGCTTGCAGAAATAATCACTTTCTCTCCATTACCACTTACTTCTTCTGTGACTTTTCCTTCGTTTAAATAATAAGTTACGATCATCTTTGAGATCCATGATCCCTCGGAGTAATACTGAATGGTTTTTTTAGTCAATTGTTCTTGGCTTGTTTCATCGGCAATTGAGCGTCGCTGTGTTTTTGACGCAAAATTATCATTATTTGTGCAGGTTGAATTACTTTGATTGAAATCGATTTCTACTGTTGATGAAAAATTTCTCTCTGTTTGAGAGTCATGTGTCAGGGGTTTTGCAGATGCTCCATACTTCACGTTTGAATTGTTCTCACTTAGTAAAAAATCATTTGCTCCTACCTGTAACTCATCAATTGAAGTTTCTTCAAACACTTTATTGTATGATTGTTTTGTTCTTTCTCTTCGCTGATTGTTCTCCTTTTCCTTTAATTCCTTACGCGCAAATTCATTCTCATTTGTTTCATCATCATTCTCACCGTTTTCTTGAGTTAGATAAAACTCGTGCATTAGTTCCTGTAACCCGTCAACATCCTCTCCACCAAATGAATTTTCTTCGTTTTCCAGTAGATGCAATAACTCCTGGTCTTGATTCTCATTCTCACTTACAAGTGTTGTCAGATCTAGCTTTTTAGCCGAACTATCTACGAGCTCGTAAGCAGCGTCGTAAGATTTTTCAATTGCAACTCTCGACGCCAAAATAGCAGCTCTTTTACCAACAAGGCGCAATAGTTTAACTGTATTTTGTCCAGTCGTACGTAAAAGCTTGCTCTATTAAGTCACCTTCAATCGTTGGTGCGGCCGCAGATGAACCACTATCAACTAAAGGTTTAGTAACTGCACCTGCTGCTATACCAGCCGTCGCTCCTATCAATCCTCCCAATAGGGCGTGAATTATGACCTTCTTTAGAGCAATGTTTTCTTTGTCAACTAATTTCCTTGAGAGAATAGAGCTCAAAGACATTATTACTCCACCAATACCACCATTAGCTGCTCCCATTCCAATAAATTTACCAATCGAAACCGCACTTGACGATAATGCTGCGTTTCCAATGCCTACTATTCCTGCTGTGATGCCAGCGGACGCACCTCCAACGAAGACACCTGCAGCTCCACCTATCAACGCTTTTTTGATCCATTTCTCAGAATCCATTCCATCAATAACAGATCGTTCTTTTAGGCATTCACCTGAAGATTGTAAGCCGGCGCCGAATAACGCTCCACCAGCTATTGATCCTAATGTTACAAAAACTGGTGCACCGAGACCAGCCGTTAAAACAGAACAGGTGATCCCGCCGACAGCTAATAAAGAAGAGAATACAAGAAAACCAAGTCGCTTCCAAAAAGCTTTATGTTGCTTTACACTCCCGCATTCAGATAAAAAAATTGCTTTCCACCGTTTTAAAGAAAACCATCCTTGTTGATAGTCAAAGTGGTTGTGATATTGAGCTCGATATTCATCATTTAACAAAATTTCCTTTGCGTGAATTATCTTTTCTGCTATTTCCTTATTGCCATTAGGCTTGTCGGGATGCCATATAAGCATCATTTTAAGAAATCCTGTTTTGACCGCTTTTTTTAAGTCATTTACATTCATTTTACGAACTTCTTTCATGTTTAATCCTAGTTGTTCATACAAGTCTCCAGAGGGCAATTCGTTTTCTCGATTTATGTGGCGACCGATTGTTTGCCTGCCATTTTCGTTTACAGTATTTCGTTGACAAGTTAATGATTCATTTATAGTTATCACTTCAATATCGTTGCAATTCTTGGGTCCAAGAAGCTTCTTTTCATTTCTATTGTCTATATGCGCAAAAATTTCAAACTTGAATGATTCCTTATGATGATAGCGATGATTCTCTGTTGGTTGGAGGGTTTTTGAAGAAGTCGGAAACTTGCAAAAAGGAGACCAACCTTTGTAATAGTTTACAGTGATTTTAACATTGGAATGGTTTTCAACGACTAAGCATCTATATTGATCATCCGCCATTGAGTTTTGTTTTTTAAACTCTTGATTATCCAATTTTCTTTAGGAGACACTGTCGTCTTAATGTTCAAAGTTCTGCTTAATAGGTCATCACATTAGTTCCTGAGAAAAATATCATTGTAAAACTGAAGTATTAACATTTTTTAATTGCAGACTTGGAGATTGCGGATGATTGCCTCTTCTGAACCTCCAGATGTGCTTTGGTATAAATGTTACTGAGGAGTAGTCTGCCGAAATGCATCGTGTCGTTTAATTTAGAACTATTGGGTTCGTGCTTTTTATTTAAAACAGTTCTTTTAAGAACTGTCAACTTGTTATATTACTTTTACCATTCACTATGGTATTTGCTATCTTTAGAACTATTTTCAAATTTGTCCCCACGACAAAGTCCCTATTTTATTATTTAAGAAAGCGCTATAATGGTCTTCAGGTTCGTGACCTGAATAAATTGGTGAGACTTAGAGGAAAGGTTCGCTCGGTGGTAGCAGCAATCCAGAATTTTACGATAACTGACCGCGCGCTCCTCGCTCTTATGGCTAAACACGTCAGCAAAAGTGCTTTTTTATTTTATTTTGTTTTGTTTTTTTTTTGAAAAAGAAATCTTCAAATAACTTTTGGTTATTATACTTATCTGTAAATGTGCTGATTCGCGAGTGATCTCATTAATTTTTTCTGTATATACCTAAGTCAAAATAACTCATGGGAGAACTGCATTTGAACTATGTCTACAAATCATAAATGCATGAAGCAAGTTTAAAATTGAGTTGTAATTTCAACATAATTTTCATGTTTCATAGTCCCATATTCTCATCGTGTTAATATTTTAGTAATATTTTAAAATATCCTCATAAATCCTTCAAGATTATTTGGAATGTATTAAAACACAAGCTCTATAGTTACATCATTCATTGTCAAAATTGTGAAACTCTGTGCAATATAAGTACTAACAGTCTCTTTGGAGGTTTCTAGCAACAATGAAAAAACACTCCAATACTTGGATGAATACTTTTTTACGATCAAGACTATCATATTCAATTATCCTTATATGGCATTCCTACAGCTCAATGAAATTTGAACCAATCAAAAAATCCAGTTTATTAAAATTTCATTTTAAAATGAGTAATGTAATAGTCCGTGATCTGTGACCGATTTTCTTTCATTCCCGTTGGACACCTCAAGGAAGGTCGTGAAAAATTCAAGACAGAACGACTTTTACATGCTTAACGCAGTTTTACTTCTTGTCATCTCCAAAAAGCTGCAGTTTTATTGCTATATTACATTAAAATTTTAAAATTTGTAGCTCATTACAATTTCGGAATCCGCCATTTTCCCCAAGAAACTTCATGTTATTTATATTTTGTATGCTAGTGCCAGACCTAATAGAGAGCTATTCCGCACGATAATACTGGCAACATAAATAAAATGTCTGAAAGAAATACATATTTCACTCGTGCATTAGGTTGGATTTTAGCAATTGTTGCGAAGATAATATTTTGAAAGTTATAATCGTATTGTGCAAGACAAGGCGCGCTTTTTTTAAAGGTCTGTCTCGAATTCGTCGTCAATGTCATCATCTAAAAACTCCTCTTCCTCAACATCATTGTCGTCATCAATATCTACATTCGTGCATGCAGTACACGACCATACATCTGTGTACTTCACTCCGGCTTTGTTACATGAACAACGTTGGGAGTTACAGCCACGTTGCAGCCAGTCTTACAACCACAATGAACGTTATCAAGTAGGGAATTCGGCGCTAGGGAATGGTCATCCATACGATTTCAGACTTGCAGTTTCCCGTCACTCGTTTGCCACCCATTTTCATCCGGAGGAGTAATATCCATTTGTGGTTGTAAACAGAAAGGCCAAAGCGCGGTTGGTACAAAATGTAAGTTCCATAAACTTCCATTGCTAATCAAGAGTTAGTGTAAATATTGCTAAAGTCATTCTTATTGCATTCTGTATACAACTGAGAGGTATTTTGCAAAAAGAAGTTAAAAATCTCAGTTAAGAAACATAAAATCTCAAAACACCAAGCTAGAACTCAACATTATATGATTCTTTGAACAAACTTAGCTACTATTTGTTTACAATATGTCAGAAGTGGTAAACTTTTGTATTTTTCAACAATATCTTTCGTAGGTTGTGATGATTGTTAATCTTCAGTTAAGGCTTTATGCTCAAGATCATGTTTTACAGTTGAAGAAAGAATATTTTTCAGTTAGCCATTTCAGAAGCCAGAAAGCTGGGGTTTTTTGCTTGGGTTGAAACTTGTTTTATTGTAAATTTGATTAGCGAGGACTTTCATAGATAAAAGTTGTCTTTGTCATACCATGAAAAGGAGAGTGAAAGACTTCTGGCACATTGATTGAAAAAGTGCTCCTGTATATATATATTTCTCAACAAGAAATGTAGTTATGATTCTGATCTATACATACTAATTTACTGATTTACTGTGTCCTTTGATAAAAGTTTATAATGTTGATTTAAAATAAAGAATATCTGAATTATTTTTGAAGTCATTCTTTATATAATCAATGCATGGAAACAGCAACTTAGGATGGTTTTGGGACATTGGTATGTAATGGAGACAAGATCCTCTGTTAGAAGTGAGCAAGCACTTTAATGCTTAGTGTAGGTTCTACAAAACCAAAAAAATGTTGTCCTTCTATATTTAAAAAGAGAAATTTCAGAATTCTACTCTTCCAAAGTAAAGAATGGACTTCACTTATCCTATGTGGAGTGACCTTTTAGAAAGAGTGGTCAAAACATTGAATCAAAGTAATTCTTGTGTTTAGTGAGTCTAATAGCCTGATAGCAATACTTTTAAAACTTTATTTTTGCTCTTGCATCACTTAAAGCAGGTTAATCACAAAGGCATGTACTTTATGGAATCTGTAACATAGCTGTAAGGTGCTAAATGTTTGTTCTACAATTTTTACATTTATCTTAGGCCTATGCATAATGACGTGCCTCTTTAAAAGCTTATTAACAAAAAATTCTTTAGTGGTAATGATCAATTTCTTACCAAGCTTTAGTGTTTAAGGAAAAATTTATGGAAAGATGCGTTGCTATCCTTCGAAAAGTGAAGTTGCGCACTATTTAACCATGAGTTCTTAAAACTGACAAGATTTAGGTCTAAAACAGGTTTCTCCTATGTTGATACATAAGTGCAAAGGTGACAGTTTAGGTTTGCTTCCAAAATTTTCGACAGAATTCTTCATTTAAAACTTACATTTTACTTGGACTTTATTAAGAGTCTCGCCTTTTTGCCACCTTTCAAGATGGCACCCGTAAATAAATTTGCCTCACCATGACAACGGCAGTTAGATACAAAGAGTTCCGCACAAAAAAATGGCGACATTCAAAACTGAAGGAGCGAGGAATTTTGAAATTCAACCGCGAAATACTAAAAACTGCAGCTTTTAGAAGTGACAATAAAAGAATATCAAACAGCAAGTGACTTTCTATCTATTTTGAAAATTTTGCGACCTTCCTTGAGGTGTCCAACGAAACTCATTAAAGCATATTTTGAGGCACAGATCATGGACTATAAGGTCAAATAGTTGGAGCGCTACTGAATAACACAAATATAGCATAATGCTATTTTCTGTGTTTCTTAATAACATTGCGACTATTTAACTTTATGTTTATCGTCATATTGGCAAGCGGAATGCTTATGAAAATCTACGTTAACATCAGTATAAGATTCATTTTTTTTCAGTATGAAGCGGGATTCTTTCACTGAAGGGCAATCATGTATTGCCTAACATTAACATCGGTATATGTTACTGTATATTTAATATTGAATTCGAAACAAAAATGAACAAGAATATTCAGTTGATTAATCTCTGATAAACCTTTCACCTTTACTTGTCACAAGGTCGGGACTTAAAGCGCAAAGCTCTCTACATTTTAGTTGACTCTTCTCGTTCACAAGGAAGAGGAGTAGAAGCTTAAAACATAAATGTTGTGAGATAGGGTAGTTATTGTAAAATGGATAATGTTGTTGATGTGAAAATGAAACTGTCGAGAACTATAATAAAAATGAACGACAGTCTTCAAATACAAAGACAAACAAATATATTTTTGTCTTCGAAGTTTTCTTCTCAAGATGTGATTTCAAAATCCAAAAAACTATCTAATAAAACCGATGACAATTTAGCTAGTTTGGTCATAGACACGTTTTTATTCTCAAAAATGATTTCTTTTACTAGGAATCAATGTAATATGTCTACAATCAACGAACACGTCATCCAAACTCACCGTTTTTTATTGAAGACGATTGTCAACGATAAATATTGTTCGTGTTTTTATTCACGCTATGCTTCTTGTACAGGAAAGATGCTCGTTGTTGTTGTTGACAGTTCTTAGACTTCAGACAAACATTCCACGAAGGTAAACTTCATAACCAACTATCAGGTCTGTATGGGATAATTTGAACTGCGCAATAGCTTTATAATTAGATTGTTATGTACAGTGCTGCCACTCTAATATTTCAAATTTCACTACGTGATGGAATTTAACCAGAGCCCTTTATAGTAACTACTTGGGTGCTTTTCACTCAGTGATTTCACAAAACACGACAGGATTACATTACAGGATTACTATTTTGTTATAACTACACGCAAATAATGTCGTTTTTAGGAAGTAATAAAATGCTAGTAATTTTCAACCGCAAAACAAAGTAATAATTCATTTACTTAGAGAGAATGACATAAATAGATGGAACAAAGAACGATAATACCCAAAATATGGTAAAAACAAATTCCGAAGAAAGTGACGGCTGGACATTATTGTTGGCTGGAATCGGTTAAATTGTCGGCTGGACATGGTTTTTGATACTATCCAAGACCTTGTTGTTTGCGGTATGTATTGGATTACCTTTCACTCAGGCTGCACTGTTTACATAATCTGCTTTTGTTGCCATACTTTAAAATGTACAATCTACACTAAAATTTGTTGCTTTTGATGGTAGTACCAAATTTATATTATAATTTCCGATAACTTAACAATCTCAGTGAGCAACATACAGTTTCAGCCTTTATTTCAACATAGAACAAAGCTTTTTGTGTCGCGGGAAACTAGTTATTTTGCACGAGAATGGTTTTTAGAAACTATAGTCAAGCTGTCGTAGAAAACTCTAAGACATAATAACACACACTCTGGCTTAGCTATTTCGCGTCTTTTCAGTCTTGAATGTGAAAAGTAGTTTTCCGTCATTCGTTTTCCGCTTTAATTCAACATTTTCACGGCAGCATGCACGTGTATCTATGACGTCATTAAAAGTGAAGCAAAGTCAAAGTTCGGAAATAAAAGGTTCGTACATTATGATGCAATAGTAAAAAGATATTGTGGCTCAGGAAAGGATTAGGAAACATTAAAAAGGATTCTTAGCCATTATCCAAATATGTTTAGAAAAAATACGCAAAACAATCCCATAAAATTATCGTAATGCTGGAGCCGCGCGTCGCGCTAAAAAATGAGCTTAAGCGCTATAGAGATGTCCATTTACGGAAAATGTACTTAGGTTTGATGTTTACCTTTTCTTGCAACGCATTGACTTACTAAAGATTATCGAGACATGTGTACACCATTTCCTGTGTAGATCTTGTGCGTATACAAATTATGGTTTTTGCAGTCTTTTAGAGGAATTTCATCTCATTTTCTTTTGTCTTTAATGCATTCGGCGCATATAAAGTTCAACATTTGAAAATGGCAATGAAATAATGTCTAATAAGTTGATTACGTATTAAAGTTTTGTAAAAATAAGCATGAGCGGCAAAACTATTTCCGTTTACTAAGACTAATTAAGGATTGGAAATTTAATCTTTTTTTCTCTTTCTGTATATTTATGTCTAATTTCACATCGTTCGTTCACTTTGGTGACTGTATTTTTTAATCTTTTGTCAACGCTTGTTTTTATTTGACACCTGCTGAGCTGAGCGTTTCAATTTAAACTAAAGCTGTTTTTTGTAGGATTTCATGTTTCTCACGCATGAGTTTGGGGACGTAACATTAAAGATGTGGGAGTGGGGGGTGCATGCAGGTGGGGATAAAACATTCGTATTCGACAAGATCGAATGCCTAAACTATGTTTATAATACTATAATAAATTTGCACTTGTAACATAGCATAAATATATTGTCCAATTTATCATATAGCAAGTTCCTGTAATTAGTATAGTGTAGAACTCAAGTTTTTAGCCTGTGTTTTTACGACTTTTAAGTTTTAGCCTGCTACAGCTACCACAACCCTCGAAAAATACTCTCCCATTTACAAACACCTACAAAATACTAACGGAAAATTCCAACACTCACTTTGTGTTTGACAATCTTAGACGATGCAAATACCTCTAGCTGAAGTTAGCTATCTACACAATAGACGCAAACACAACTAGACCTGAACAAGTTGTAAATAATTTACTCCTTTTACGGTTATAATGCATGCAGGAGGGTATAAAGGTTACAATTGGAAACAATAGGCAACAAAAGGTTACATCAAAGCAAATTTATGGGTAAAGCTTTCATCATTTTATTATGATACATGATAAAGACATGGGCTTAGAGAGATTGATAATCAAAAAGTGGGTATGATTTTCACATATTCATGTCATATAATTCGTTAAAAACAATGAATTTCAAAAGAATTCAAGACAACAAATCATGCATATATGAATATGTGCCCCCCAATTTACAATTGACCTAACTGTTGCTTTTCTGGAAAGTATCCTTAACATATGATTTCTAAGAACAATGAATAATTACAATTTCTAAGAATAATCAAAAATTAGAATTTCGAAAAACAATGAAAAATTTCTATTTAATGATTACATTATACACAAAAGCATACTGCTATAAGATAAATGTCCATAGAAAACTATTTTCATAAAAATCAAAATGTGAGAGCCATTGCTGTCTCCATCATTTGAATAATGATGATTTATACGTTGTATTTACAGTTACACTTAATCTCAGGTAAGGTCAATTATCATTTAGTTCAGCAATCACTTATTTGTTCTATGTTAACAGAACGTTTCCCAAACATTGCTTCCGCTGGCGATATCTGCAAAATTTAAAAAACGTTAATGAGACTTGTTGAAGAATCAAGGTCATTTCAACTATATAAATGTAGTTTCGTTCAGTAGAGGACGGTTACAACAGTTACAGCAGTCATAAATCCATTTTAAAATACTTTGCAGCTAACCATATTTAAGCTATTTTGGTTCTTATTTTAAATTCTGTGTTATCGTTACGATTATCTAGGTGTAGGCACGTATCTTTTTCATTACGGCTTATAATTGATTCCAAGTACAATGGAGTACAATACGCAATAGAAATGATAAAGATCGAGTAGTTTGTTGTTATCGCCAGTGCCTGACACAATCGGAGAATACACTCATATTACAATATATAGTTACTACATTATTTAGGGGCTGCAAGTACTATACTTCAAAACACAACAAATGTTATTTTCAGTGATTAATTGATTATAGAAAGTTCTTCACCTTTCAAAACTTCGCCCATTTCATTTGTTTCCTCGTGGTATTGATCGGTTACTCTCATAACTGCCTCCCACCAAAGATTACCACTAAGAGTAAATGTGCGATCAGTGGCTTTCTCGTATCGGAAGATATGAGGTGTATACGGTTTCGACCAGGTGTTTGTAAAACGGTCGTACTTCATAACGTCGCCCCATATTGGACGCATAACTTTAAATCGCACCTCGATATTTGTTGCTCTTGAAGAAATATTCACCCTCTTCCCATCACCACTTACTTCTTCTGTGACTTTTCTTTCGTTTAAATAATAGGTTACAATCATCTTTGAGATCCATGAACCTTTGGAGTAATATTTAATGGTTTTTCTGGTCAACTGCTCTTGGCTTATATCGTCGAGAATTGAATGTTGTTGGGTCTTTGACGCAAAATTTTCATTATTTGAGCAGGTTGAATTTCTTTGAGGGCAATAAATTTCGTCAGTTGATATAAAACCCATTTCTTTTGTTTCTCCATACTCATTACTGACTCCCATAACTGCCTCCCAACGAAGATTACCACTAAGAGTAAATGTGCGATTTTTTGCTTTTTGATAACGGAAGATGTGAGGTGTATATGGTTTTAACCATGTCTTGTTAAAACGGTCGTACGTCATGACATCACCCCAAAATGGACGCATAACTTTAAATCTCACTTCCACATTTGTCGCGCTTGCAGAAATATTCACTCTCTCTCCATTACCACTTACTTCTTCTGTGACTTTTCTTTCGTTTAAATAATAAGTTACGATCATCTTTGAGATCCATGATCCCTCGGAATAATATTGAATGGTTTTTTTGGTCAATTGTTCTTGGCTTGTTTCATCAGCAATTGAGCGTCGCTGTGTTTTTGACGCAAAATTTTCATTATTTGTGCAGGTTGAATTACTTTGATTGAAATCGATTTCTACTGTTGATGAAAAATTTCTCTCTGTTTGAGAGCTATGTGTCAGGGGTTTTGCAGATGCTCCACACCTCACGTTTGAATTGTTCTCACTTAGTAAAAAATCATTTGCTCCTACCTGTAACTCATCAATTGAAGTTTCTTCAAACACTTTATTGTATGATTGTTTTGTTCTTTCTCTTCGCTGATTGTTTTCCTTTTCCTTTAATTCCATACGCGCAAATTCATTCTCATTTGTTACATCATCATTCTCACCGTTTTCTTGAGTTAGATAAAACTCGTGCATTAGTTCCTGTAACCCGTCAACATCCTCCCCACCAAATGCATTTTCTTCGTTTTCCAGTAGATCCAATAACTCTTTGTCTTGATTCTCATTCTCACTTACAAGTGTTGTCAGATCTACCTTTTTAGACGAACTATCTACGAGCTCGTAAGCAGCGTCGTAAGATTTTTCAATTGCAACTCTCGACGCCAAAATAGCAGCTCTTTTACCAACAAGGCGCAATAGTTTAACTGTATTTTGTCCAGTCGTACGTAAAAAAGCTTGCTCGATTAAGTCACCTTCAATCGTTGGTGCGGCCGCAGATGAACCACCATCAACTAAAGGTTTAGTAACTGCACCTGCTGCTATTCCAGCCGTCGCTCCTATCAATCCTCCCAATAGGGCGTGAATTATGACCTTCTTTAGAGCAATGTTTTCTTTGTCAACTAATTTCCTTGAGAGAATAGAGCTCAAAGACATTATTATTCCACCAATACCACCATTAGCTGCTCCCATTCCAATAAATTTACCAATCGAAACCGCACCTGACGATAATGCTGCGTTTCCAATGCCTACTATTCCTGCTGTGATGCCAATGGATGCACCTCCAACGAAGACACCTGCAGCTCCACCTATCAACGCTTTTTTGATCCATTTCTCAGAATCCATTCCATCAATAACAGATCGTTCTTTTAGGCATTCACCTGAAGATTGTAAGCCGGCGCCGAATAACGCTCCACCAGCTA